CAAAGAACCAACTTTTGGTTTTGTTGATTCTTTCTATTGTTTTTCTGTTCTCTATTTCATTTATTTCTGCTCTGATCTTTACTATTTCCTTTCTAGTAGTATTTATTTTGATGCTCAAATTGTTCCATATTTGGCCAGTAGGTCCTCTACAAACTGGTCCCTACATCCTTTGGACCAGTCCCTGTTATTCTTTGAGATTATCACTTTAAACAGTAAGCCTTTTCCAGATGTGTTGAACCTTTTTCTATATTCCCTTGCCTTCCTGGTGAATACTCAGCCAATTTCTCCACCTCATTAGAAAACTCCTGCCCTTCCCCCACCTTTCCCTTCCCCCTCCTGCATCGACCCTACTCCCCTCCCTACTCCCCTTGAGAAACTGGATTTTCCAGCAAAGAGACTTCACCCCTAACTGACAGGCATTCACATGGCCATTTTCAAACACAGGTCTATTTAACTTTAACACAAAACACCAGGCAGAGTCAATCCCCAGACAGGACTCAAGCAGAGGTGCCAGCAGTCGGTGAACACAGCCATCCTAATGGTATTTGCTTTTCCCTTGTGTAAACCAGGTGATGGTTGTGAGAGATTTGCCCTTTGTTTCTCTGTTGCTTTTTTATACTCCAAAAAGAAAGCAAATTTTTATGATGTTCAGTAAAAAAGAGCACCCAAAACCTGAGTTCTCACCTTTAAGCTAGCTGTCCAAAGTGGAAGAAAAAAAAATCAGATAAACTGTCCATTTTAAATTCAGTTTTACTTGAAAAGAGCAGCATTTTTTTTTTCCATGTATCAAGTTGAATGAGGAGTATTTTCTTTTTGCACCTGGAAATAGAACTTGCTAAAGACAAGATATGGGTGTGGGAGCAGGGACAGATTAACCTGTAAGCAAGGTACGCACAGGCTTACTTGTGTTTACTTACTAATCTCTGTGTACAATTTCAAATGAGTTTCACTACATCTTTCATTATCCTTGCTTATTGGGTAATCTGTCCCTGTGTGGGAGCAACATATGAAAAGAGAAATGCATTGACTTTGAGATTACACATCATATAATGATAAATATCTTGGCCCGTTGTCCAAGGAAGCCTAACTGTAGATACTGGCCACACAGGGGTGGGGTGTAAATACATTAGTCCCCACCCTTTTCAGCAGCGAGTCGCACAACCTTGGACATTAGAGCCTGTCTCTTGAGAGAAAGGATGTCACTGGGGAAGGAACACCTGGGTGAGGTGAGAGCGTACAACCTTGTTCGAGGAAGAGGCCTGTTGTCACTGCACTTGGGAGAGGTGCAGCCACAACTCCCTCAGGTATGGGGCCAGGTGCTTAGGAAATCAATGTAGTATGCCCTCAAGGGAGGTGATGGGGAGAGAAACCAAACCGGAAATTTGATCCTAAAAGGGTAAGAGTTATCAAAATGTCCTTTATAATTACATGGCTTTGAAGAAAAAAATACAGATCCTGTGGTTTTCCTAGGGAGGAGGGCTTCCTGAATCCACAGACAATGTGTAAATTCTGTGAGGAGAGGAAGTGGTGGTTTTTGAGTTGGGCTATCTCAGCAGTCATTTCATTTCCATGCTCCTTGCTCCTGTGGCTGCGGCCACACAAGCAGAAGATGAGGATAGACACTCCGGCTCTAAGCTGGCCAGTGTGCCAGGGCTGAGCTCATTCGGCCTCCAGGAAGCTGGGAACACAAGGTGTCACTCAAGGCGTGCATCTTCCTCTCTTCCTCTCAGAAGAAAACTGTCCCCACATACAACCTGAAGCCACCATCATAAAGTGGACCTACCTGATGTTTTTTCAATGATCAATATTTTATTATTGCTTCAAGTACATTATTATGACCCACAGTCTGCCCTCTCTGCTTCTCAAACACTTCAAAACCCTTTTTTTCTTTGACTTTTTTTTTTTTTTTTGGCCACCTATCCTCCTGATTGATTTTTTGTTTTGTTTTGTTTTAACAAAGTACAAGAAAAACAGAAGTACTGTGGAAAGTGGCAGGATTTTAGATCAGGTTGTGGAGGGGCAAGGGGGTAAGAGAGTGGGAGGAGGTGCTGGGGGAAGGGGAGGGGTGGATGTACTGCTTTTTATCCCATTTATCCAGCTGAACTATGAATTATTAGCAGAAAATGGAGATAAGTGGAGAGCAGAGACTGGGGACAAAACCATGGGCTTGAAGAATGGGGTAATTTAAGTGAGAGTGCTTTGAAAAAGTAAATGGTTGTACACGCATTTTATTAGGTAAGCCCCCACTGATTTCTCTCTCTGTGGCACTTGTGTTGCACTTGGGGTTTATGCCTTTCAGTTAGTGTCATGGTTGTTAGAAATACACCATTTGCCCCTTATTCCAGAATCGAGTACTACCTTGTTACTGATCTTGTTTGTATGTATATGTTCTTACAACTAGGTTATGTCTTTCTTTAGTGCAAGGCTTCCTTCCCACCCCCCAATATGATATATCCAAACAGTAGAGGAGCCCTGGTGGTACAGTGGATAAAGCTGTACTAACCAAAAGGTCAGCAGTTCGAACCCACCAGCCACTCCGCAGGAGAAAGATGCGGCAGTCTGCTACCGTAAAGATTACAGCCTTGAGCTCTGACAGGAATCACAATAGAGGGTCCCGGACAGAGCTGGAGAAAAATGTAGAACAGAATTCTAACCCAAAAAAAAAAAAAAAGACCAGATTTACTGGCCTGACAGACTGGAGAAACCCTGAGAGTGTGGCCCCCAGACACCCTTTTAGCCCAGTAATGAAGTCACTCCAGAGGTTCACCTTTTTGCCAAAGATTAGACAAATCCATAGGACAAAATGAGACTAAAGGGGCGGGGCACACCAGCCCAGGGGCAAGACTAGAAGGCAGGAGGGGACAGGAAAGCTGGTAATAGGAACCCAAGGTTGAGAAGGGAGAATACTGACATGTCATGGGGTTGTTAACCATTGTCATAAAACAATATATGTACTAACTGTTTAATGAGAAGCTAGTTTGTTTGGCAAACCTTCATCTAAAGTTTTATTCAAAAAAAAAAAAAGATTACAGCCTTGGAAGCTTTATGGGACAGTTCTGCTTTGTCCTGTCGTGCCACTATGAGTCAATTGACTTGACAGCAATGAGTTTGGTTTTTTGGTGTATCCAAACAGGGCTGAGTAATACAATTTATTGAGTGTTTACTATGTACTAGGCAAAGGACTGTGCTTTTTTTTTTTAATATTAACTCCTATAATCCCCCAACAACACCATAAGGTACATATATTCCCATTTACAGATGAAGTAGCCGAGGCCCATGCTCACAAAGCCAGTAAGAGATGGAGCTGGGCTCTGAACCAAGGTATTCTGTCCGCAAAGCCCATATTCTTTACACCCGCGTGACATGGCTGGCACGAACACAAACAAGGGTTCCTCTGTCCTCCGTAGAAGGTAATGGATTAAAAAATGACACAGATCCCTTTCAGAGCCTCCACCCCACAGCTCACTCTCCAGCACTCTTCAACCCATGTTTTCCTCATTTGTGAGATGGGGATGAAAATACATAACTCATAGGTTGGTGAAAGGGCTTGGCACAGGGATAAGTGTCAATAAATGTTTGAGAACTCTGAATCGGTGACGTTAGATACATGAAGGAGTTCCTAGTAACCAGTGCCCCTCTACCCTCCATCCACGTGTTGCCCCTTTGCCAAAATTATGACTCTACTAATTTTGAATGTTTAGGAAATAAAAAATATTAATTCCTATTACCATATTATTCACTATGTTCTCTCCTTGTTATATTTTCTTTTCCAGATGGTAACAAAAAATAATCCAGATGGGGTGCACTTGCTGTAAAATGATACAAAGGTAAAGTTGAAAAAGACTTCATCTGAACAGAGGAATTTGTGGTCACTTTTAGAGACCACGCATGGATTCAGTGCATTTATTCAGCTTGGAACATGATTGAAATTGGCAATAAATTAAAAGGTTGGAACTGCTTTGATGTCATTTAAGAGGATGTATGGCCTAGATTTTTAAACTCTTTTTGGTCACTCGTCAGAGCCTGTTGAGAATGCCATCATTCTCTGAGACGGAATTTCCTTTGGCTTGAATTTACATTTCTCCAGGGTGCTTCAACACAAAGAAAAGCTTAGGTTTCAGAGGATGTATGAAATTGCATCACTGAAAATAAATCGCCCCAGCCACATGTGTGCTTTTAATTTTGTCCATATTTTATTTTATGAAAATATTGGTGATATGCATAGAATGCCACATAAAATAAAGGGATAAAATTAACTGACAGTCTTGCCCCCTTCCAAATAAAACTGTCTTTATTATTCTAGTTTTATTCCAGATACATACATATCTTTTACTTATATACACATACCTATATATATATGCCTAACATCACATTATGTGTGTGTGTATATATACATATACACACACATATATATGTGCATAAAGTGATGTTAGGCATTATTCAAAACACATTTATCATAAGTATCTTTCATGCTGCTGTAGGCTTCATAGCTATCATTTTAATGACTGTATAATATTCCACTGAGGGGATGTACCATCATTACTTAACCATTTATTTCCCTATTATTGGACATTTATCTTATTTACTTTTTTTTTTTTAATTCCAAAAACCACTTTGTACTTTGCCTTCTTTTCTCCCTGTTTTGGATCTTTTCTTAAGATCTGTTTGTAGTGGTAGAATGTTCTTGTACCAACTACATCTATTTGATGTAGACAGACTTATATAGGTTTAGGAGCCCTGCTGGCACAGTAGTTAAGAGCTAGGCTGCTAACCAAAAGGTCAGCAGTTCAAATCCACCAGCCGCTCCTTAGAAACCCTATGGGGCAATTCTACTGTCTCCTCTAGAGCCGCTATGAGTCGGAATCTACTTGACGGCAACGGGTTTTTGGTTACATGGGTTTAAAAGATTAATTAGTCATAGAAATTAAATTAACAGCAATAATGGAAAGACACAGAGTCTGTGGTAGAAAGTACTGATCCTCCTGCAAACCTGACAGGTTTTCCATATTCTCACCCCCAGCTATTTCTTTGATCCAGTGCAAGCGTCCTCCCCTGGCTACGTCAATGAAGTAAGCAGCTGCAAGTTAGATGAAGACGACACTGTTAGATTAAAAGACAAACAGAGCAGTAAAGTCCTGGTGCATAAAAATGATCTTCAAGATGAGTACTTGAAGAGAACTGAGAGCCAAAGCAGAACGGCTAGTTTCCAGGAGCTCTGCCGGCCTCACAGAGAACCTCTCCCTCAGAGGGACCCAGGAGGGAACCACTGCATGGAGAAGACTGGTGGTGCCGTCAATGGTGTTGGTCCCGCTGCTGCTTTGCAGCCCACTGCGAATCCCAGGCCCCAGCATGATGACAGGGACTCCTTGGCCAGTACTGCAAACAATGATGTTCACCCAGCTCTTCCCTTCCTTGAAGGAGAGGGCACCAGGAAACAGGATTATGCCCTGCCAGTTTCAGAAGAAACCCAGGTCATCCAAAGTGGAAGCTCCAGAGCTCCTTCCAAGGCAGAAAGTCATGCCTTGGACGTACAAGACCATGTCTTACAGATACCAGCTCCAGATTACCCACAACTTTGGGACTCAGCAGTAGACAATGTTGATCATGAGGAAAAGGATTGTCTATTCCAGAACCATACTGAGGATGAGCCCCCGAAGCAAATTTTCCTTCATAACTTGAATATGCCCTGCATGTTGGGAAGCTGGGATTCATTCAATGAGGGCATGGCAACAGAAGTTTTAAGTGTCTACTTTAAAGAGGAGGATCCTGCTCTGGCCGAGCCTGTAGTTGACACAAGAAATGGGCAGGAGGATGTCCATGCTTCCAATGGAGACAGGAACGGAGAGATGGTGGACGAGGATGCAGCAGTGGCAGAAGCCCTTGCGGCTTTAGAAGCTGCTACTGCAGGAGAAGATATCGATGAGGTATATTAGGGGAGAGGATTGTGCAGGCAAGTAAGCTACTGTCTGGACATGGCTGAGCATGAGGGGTACATTTGCTCGTTAGATACAGAGCTGATATTCCGCCAGCATGCACCAGTGCAGCCATACCAGTTGTTTACACCAGCCTCTGTTGGGACTGTCATACCTGTGCCATAGAGCTTGTTACATATTTGGAGCATCACTCTGTTTAGATGGGCTATTGTGTAGAACATGCCACTAGAATAAAAATCAGAGTGTGCACCCATGTCCACAGCAAATGCAGAAATTAAGCAGCCTATTTGCCATCCCTCAAAGCTCCACAGAATGTCTAATTCAGATGTTCACAAGAATGCGTTGAAGTCCCGATTCTTAATCCCAAAGGCACAGAATCTCAGAGCATTCTGTTTGACTGTAAATTCCTTATCTTGCTTTTGAGAGCCAAATGTTGGCCTGAACCTGAACAAGGTGACAACTCACTGAAAGTGCCTAATATGTACCCAGAGCATGGCTTACCTTCAGGAACAATCGCCCAGGGAACTGATAACTATTTATTTAACAGTGAGTTATGCTCAGAAGCTTTCAGGGTAGAGCAGAAATCATCAGTAAACAAATGATTAGTCAGTAGCTGTGATATTAAGACACCTTAACCTTAACACTTGTACATTATTACTTTTTAATCTCTTTTGGAACTGGGGAAGCTAGCCAAAATAATTCATGAAACTGCTGTGTCATATTTGGGTCTTAAGTTCATGAGGTTTGGAACCGCGAAGGGATATATGGATTGTTTTATGCCATTAAATGTCTGATTCTGATTAAAATATAACGTGTTTGTCTTAACTTGAAGGTGGTTCTAATTTTCTCAGATTGAGTATCAGTAATACTGGATGTTTCTTTCAATTTATGAGGTAGACTAGTAAATTACAGCCAAGGAAGAGACCAAGTTAGTGAGCTGAGCAAGGCCTTGGCTCTCTGTTCTTCAAGTTCAAACTCTGATGCCATGCCTACTGCCTTCCCTTAAGGATGACCAAGTCCTCTACAGACTTCAGCCTTCTAATTTATAAAAACAAGGACAGCCGTTCTGACATAACTCATTGGAAAATTTGTGGTAGTTAAGGATGGTTGAAATGCTGTATAAATATACAAAAGTTTTAACATGGAAGACGATTTAGTATGGTGTTTCATAGCACAGGCTCTGAAATCTGATTGACCCTGTCTTGATTTCCAGCTCTGCCATGTGGCCTTTGGCAAGTAACTTACCCTTTCTATTTGTCCATCTGTTAAGTGAAAATAATAATATTGCATGCTTGTGAAGATTAAATGAGATGAAGCAAGTGTTTTTCGAAGTGCTTGGCACATAGTAGGCACTCAATAAAATAAGTCTTATTAGTTAAAAACAAATCCTTTAAAAAATTTTTACATCCTCACAACTGAAAACTCTAATACTGTGAAGTATTTATAATGTCATTGCTGCATTTCGGTAATTAGTCATCATAAAACATGATTTCTGAGCCTTCCAACATCTTTAAGATTGACCTCCTTAAAAATGCTTTATAGGAATATGTTATGCTGGGTTTGTTAATATTGTGGTGACAAGTTGTCTCTACATACAAGGTCACTCAGCCCCCTGAAAAGATAAAGTGTTGGCATTGTGAATTGCATTGTAGGTGTGTTTGCTATTCCGTTTAGTACACCAAATGCATAATGCACATTCCTTCAACAGTTTCCCAAGTGTATCATTTGGGATTAGCTTCAGCCACATGTGATGAATGGCTTAAACAAACAGTAGTTTATTTCCCTCCAATGTAAAACAAGTCTTTAGGCGGCAGTCCAGACTGCTAGGGCATCCTGTGGTATCAGAGATCCATTCTCTTACCATTTTAGTTTCTATTCTCAAGGTCAGCTCATGGTCCAAAATGGATAGTGGAGCACTAGTCATTACATTTACTTTCCATGCAGGAAAAAGAAGAGTCAGAAGATGCTACTCTGTCTCTTTAAAGGACCTCCTGGAAGTATAATTTAACCGTTCCACTTGTATCTCATTGATCAGTAGCTGATCACTTGGCCACATCTAGCTGCAAGAGAGGTTGGGAAATGTAGTCTTTCTAGCTATGTGCATGGCCTCCCCAGATAAATTCAGGATTCTGAAACCGAGAAGGGGGAGAATGGACATTGAGTTTTAGGGTGAACAGCTTGTACTCTCTGCCACACCAGGTCCTCAAAACACAAAAGCCTCGGATAATGCTAGTTGGAAAGAATTTGAAAATTTTTATTTACATTTAGTATGACACAGAAGGGACTTAAGCCTTTGGTTCAGGGGAAGGAGCACTGGACAGATACCACCATCTCAACTTGCTGTTAGTGCCTCCAAACAGAAGAATAAAAGAAGAAAATTCAGACAGGGAAGGGGTAGGGCAAGATGTTAGTGCAGACAGTTCTCTTTCCCTTGAACAGAAATATCCTCTGCATACATATATAATTTTACATTTCAGGACTGCTATAATTGACATAATTGACCATAATTGACAACTGTCTTAGATACTAAAGATTCTTTTTGTGTGAATAAGTGCTTCCAAAGGGTTAGAGATGACCAAGAATTCTAAGCATTTTTAAAAAGCAATTCTCGCCCCTTTTGTCTTTACCCCGAAATCCAGTCTCCATCAAAGGATGTCAGAGGAAGGTCAAAATCTTTCTGTTGAAAAGAAGTTGCATATTTCAGCCTTATCCATCAGCTTGTCTAGCAGCCATCTAAGCATCCTGCTGCGTAGTAGTATCTTCTTTCTGCAACTTGGTGCAACCTTATCAGAAAAGTAATGGTGAAAATAGTGAACCTTTTCAAACATTTTGAGTAATTTGAATATACAGATTCACCCTGAATGTGAGATACTATGATTTTAGCAAATTGGATCATGTGGATATTGACCATGTTACATTTTGATTTAAGATTATTTAATATTGCATTCTTGAGCTAGAAAAATACATTTAACATTTTACTGGGAAAATTAAGCTATCATATAAATTTGAAATGTTTTTCTCTGGTTTCCAATGCAAAATGTTACAACTGGCAAGCCAGATGGCAAAAGAGCAAAGAGAATTTTATATAAAACCCATTTCCATTGAGTTGATTCCAACTCATAGTGACCCTATAGGACAGAGTAGAACTGCCCCACAGGGGTTCCGAGGTGTAATCTTTAAAGAAGCAGACTGCCACATCTTCCTCCTGTGGAGCAGCTCGTGGATTTGAACCACCGACCTTCC